GGAATTGTAGTTTTTTTCTGAGACATTGAGCCTTCTCTGTAAGACATCAGGTGCCATAATAAACTACAGTTCCCAAGATTCCCTAGCAGTTAAAGCAGTCTCAAACTGGATTGTTTCTGGCAGTCTGTTCAGGCCCTAAGGTCCAAAACATCATGGGAACTGTAGTTTTACTGGGGCCCCAGAGCTCTCTCTGACAGAGAAGACTAAGGGGGGTTGCAGACTGCCAGAAATAGTGCAAATTGAGTCCACTTTTAGGGTTAGGGTTAGGGAATCATGGGAGTCATGGGAACTGTATTTTATTGTGGCACCAGAGCTCTCTGACAGAGAAGGCTCAATGTCTCAGAAAAAAAACAACAATTCCCATGATTCCCTAGCACTAACCCTAACCCTAAAAGTGGACTCAATTTGCACTATTTCTGGCAGTCTGCAACCCCCCTAAGGTCCAAAATACACTGCAGAAATAATTCAGTTTGGATCCCTAGCACTGAGCCAAGGCAGTTAAAGCTGTCTCAGACTGGATTATTTCTGCAGTGTGTTTTGGACCTTTGATCCTTGGTCTTTTCTTCTAAGGGCACTTCAAAGCAAGTTGCCACATTGCAGAATTAGTGTGGTGTCAAATTCAGGGTAACCAGCTGCCCTCCTTTTCCAGGACATGTCCTACATTTCAACCTTCTGTTCAGGAGGACTTCCAAAATGTCTTCCATTTTGAGCATGACTAAGAGGATGAGCATGACTAATGACTATGACTTAATAAGCACAAATTGACATTTCTGTGAATGTTTTTAGCTTTTCTTTGGTCATGCCCTACATTTTTTTTGAATGCCCTACATCTAGGCAGACCAGACACTCTCCTTTTGCAGGACTTGTCCTACATTGCAGCCTTCGGTTCAGGAGGAATTCCCAAACATCCTCCATTTGGAGCATTACTGAGAAACATGGATTTATATTTCTTGTATGACTTGAGCATAAATTGACAATTCTGTGACTGTTTCTAGCTTTTATGCAGGTTACATCCTACATTTTTCTTGAATGTCCTACATCTAGGTAGACCAGATGCCCTCCTTTTCCAGGACTTGTCCTACATTGCAGCCTTCTGTCCAGGAGGAATGCCAAAATTTTCCTCAATTTTGAGCATGACTAAACATGGATTTATATTCTAAGAGCATTTTGAACTTTTTTATTTTTGTCATGTCCTACATTTTTCTTGATTGTGTTACTTTTTATGGTGCCTTGTCCTCATTTGTGGTGAGGACATCTGGTCACCCTGGTCAAACTGCATCTGCACTGCTGAATTAATCCAGTTTGACATTGCTTTTAACAGTCATGGCTCCATGCTCCATTCTCTTGGATTTGTAGCTTGTTGTGGACGGCTCCAGAGTTCCCCAACAGAGGATAAATAGCTCACAAAACTACAAATCCCACAAACCCATAGCATTGAACCGTGACAGTTAAAACTGTGTCAAACTGCATTAATTTAGCAATGTAGATACAGTTTCACAGGGCTTTAATTGCCATGGCTCCATGCTATGGGATTTTGGGATTTGTAGCTTGTGGCACCAGAGCTCTCTGACAAAAAAGAGAAAGCTAAATAGCACACAAAACTACAAAACCCAGAATCCCATAGCACTGAGTCATAGCAGTTAAAGCCATGTCAAACTGCATTATTTCTGCAATGCAGATGCAGCCCAGGCTGCTGCCACACTGCAGAATTAAAGCAGTTTGACATGGCTTTAGCTGCCATGGCTCCATTCTATGGAATCCTGGAATTTGTAGTTTGGACAAAACCACAACTTCTAGATTTCCATAGCATTAAGCCATAGAGGTTACAGTGGTGTCAAACTGCATTAATTCTGCAGCGTAGATACTGCCTA